TCTGGGCACCCTGTGCCAGCGCCTCAGCACCCTCACAGGGAAGAGCTTCTGCCCAAGAGCTCATCTCAATGTCCCCTCTGGCAGCTTCAAGCCATTCCCCTTGTCCTGTCCCTCCACCCCTTGTCCAAAGCCCCTCTCCAGGTTTCCTGGAGCCCCTTTAGGCCCTGGAGCTGCTCTAAGGTGTCCCCTTCAGGAGCCTTCTCTTCTCCAGCTGCCCCAGCCCAGCTCTCTCAGCCTGGCTCCAGAGCAGAGCTGCTCCAGCCCTCGCAGCAGCTCCGTGGCCTCTTCTGGACTTGATCTAACAGGCCCAACAGCATCCTGTCCTTAACACATCCTCCAGCTGTACACCCCCCGAAGTCAAGCCAAGTATCCTATTCAGACTATTGGTGAGGACCTATAGCAGGGAAGGGTGCAGAAGATCAGTACCATCCATAAAAGAGACAATTTATAGGATATTTCCCTGCCCACAGCACTCTATAATGGCCAGAAAGTCCCTGTTTCCATGCATTCCTTGCCCATATAACTGTCTTTGCACGAGGCTGCCAGTGCACCGAGCTCTGCTTCCCAGTACCTGCAGCAATTGAGACTGAAGGGCACAATGAGTCCCATTTAAATCCTGTTTGTTTGCACTCACAGCTTTGCAGCACACCAGAGATCACTTGTTAAAGCATGGGTTGTGCTGGGAGCCTCCATGTGCCCGCACCAAGATATGCAGATTTTAAAAGCTTGGCAGGAAGAGGGCTCCAAACTACACAATTAAACAGATTTCATGTAGAACACTCTGTACACACCAACCACTGCAAGAGACCCTTTGCCTGCCCTAGAGCTCTGCCAGGAGACACCCCTGCACTGCTGGTGAGCTCTGGATTGCTCCTTCCCTTCTGCTTGGGAAGCCCTTGTCTGCCCTTTGCCTCTGTTGAACTGTCCATAAAGTGGGGATTGACAACAGAAACCAACTTCTTTTGTCCAGTGATGGAGCAGGAACAATTGCCTGGGAAGAAATTTAACCCTCCTGGAGGAAAGAGATATCTCCAGCCCTTGTTAGTGTCCACACATAGGGTGGCATGGATTCTGCCCTGCTCCACCCCAAGCACCTGAAGGGCATCATTGTGCTGGAGAACAACAGAAGTCAGGCCTGAAAACACACACAAGAAGGGTAAATAACAGGAGAAAAAGGTGACAGTGTCAAAGAACCAAGTGGAGGGGCCAGGGTTAGTGTTGCTGTGTGTCCCCTGCATCCCCTTCTACCAAGGATGTGTTCTGAGGTGGCATCCACGGCTGAAATAGGGGAACAGGTCCTAAAATAGAAGCAGAGGGAAAGGGACAGGAACCTAGGAAAGGAGGTAGGAGGCTGTACAAGGCTCTGTATCACCCAGTGCCCGTATATAAACCAAATATATAAAGCCTCCAGGGGCTGCATCTCTAGGGCGGGATCTGCCTGCTGCCATCCCTAGGTGCAGCAGTGTCACCTTGTCTCTTAGATGACAGGTAGGAAGGACAGGGGAGGAGAAGGACATTTCAGAGACCATCCCTGCCACGCTGCACATGCAGACAACAGGCTGAGGAGTCCACGCACAGTCCACACACTTCAGGGACCCTGCCTTCCCCCTGCTTGCTCCCTGTGCAATCTGAAATGTCAGCCAGCAGCTTTCAGTAATGCACTTTCCTCCATCTAATGTAATAAGCTGAGTCTAGGCAAGCCCTTCTCCTTGCAGACAGCAGGCAGGCAGCTCCACTAATACTAATCTCCTAATGCTGCCCCTCTAAGCACATTAGAAACAGGCGAGTCCAGCATGCTGCAAAGGCTGAGGCTCATCTGTAACTCCCCACTGATGGTTAAAACAGTCCTAGGTCCTAATAGGAGGCACACTGCAAGAAAGCAAAGGAGGTTAAATAAGCAGCTGGCTGCAAAGAGAGCAATCTTTCAGTGATCTCTCCAATTCCTGGCACAACACAGGCAGGAGGCAGTTCAAGAGAAGCTGACAGACTGAATGGTACCTCACAGGGCAGCACAAAGGGAAGAAGCAGACAGAAATGGGAAGGATATCCCTGGGTTTCCACTGCCCGTTTTTGGGGTGCATCTCAAAGACAGAGCAGCAATGCCTTCATGTTTGTTAGTGATAGCATTTGGCACTGGAGCAAAATGCCTTTTCGTAGAAACATAGAATCATGGAATGGTTTAGGTTGGAAAGGACCTTAAGATCATCCCTTTCCAACCCCCTGCCATGGGCAGGGACACGTCACCCTAAGCCATTTTGCTCCAGTGCATGAAGAGGTTTCCTTGCCACGTCTCCCAAACAGCATCTTTTACTGTCAATAAAACCCATTGGAAATGACTCTGCCCCTACAAAGTAAGGCAGGGATTTGTCAGGAAAGCAAACAGCAACCTGCAAGGTTTCTGCTTATTTTAGATGGCAGAGAAACCAAAAACTGCTGTGCCACTTCCAGGAGAACGTGTGGTTTCCTGCCACAGGGAACAGGCAGACACAATCCCAAGTGTGGCTGTTTCCACTGCTTTTAAACTCAAATCCTCCTTTTAGGAATAGGATTGGGGGACAGCTTTAATAACAATAAGAAGTGGGAGCTTGTAGGCAGGAATGACATTTCAGTCCACTGCCTTTGCACGCTGGGGTGTTCCCAGTTATCCCAGACAAAGGATCCCAGTCATTCCAGAAGGGATCCCAGGTTTGTTACCTCCAGAGCATCTCCCTCATAAAGACCATTTGTTAGATCATTGAAAACTACAGTAGTCCAAATAAAGCTGTCACATACCATAAGCCAAGAAGCTGCTCTGATGTTTTTTCTGGTTGTAAGGGGTTTATTAACTGGGGCTAAGGCAGAGTACTACAAAATGTCCTGATCCTTTAAATGTGGATAAAATCCCAACTAAACTCTGATTCCAGCATGGATAGCATCTCTGAGGACAAATTCCCCTTTCCACACATGTGGGAAAGGTTTGACTCACACAGGTTGGGGTCAAAACTCTCTTTGTCATAAGAAGGTATTTACCAGCCCTGTGCAGGACGTTGCCTTGAGGGAAACTGGTTTTATTTAACCCAAACCTGGGCAGAACAGAGCAGAGCTGGAGCCAAGGCACTGTCTTCAGCCTGCTTCGACGGCAGGGGTCAGATTGAAGCATTAAACCACTGCAAAGAACCTTTTTAGCACCAGAATCGAAGAAATCCAGCTGCAAAAGAAACAGGCAGCAGGGTTTTCCTTCTGTGTGTAGCACTAAAAAAGCAAATATAATCAGAGGACCTAGAGGATGTTATCCCACTTTAACACAGAAATATCCCAGAGCAGCAGGGGGAGTGGAAAAATAAAGCTAAGCAGTGGAAAGCACGAGGTTTGTCCCCAAAATCAACATTACTTCATGGTGCTATGAAACACTACCCCGTGCAAAGCTCACCTGATCCCATCAGATGTCCCGTGGCCCCTGGTGCACACGTAAGGATGAAGCCGGTGTGTTTATTTCGGCAGGGGTTTGGTTACTTTTCCATCCTGCTCTTTACACATCTGGTTTCCAAAAGCTGCCGGAGTTTCTCAGCTGAGCTTTCCCGCTGGCTGCTCAGAGCCATTTCACATGGGATTTAGGGAATACATGGGGCGCAGGTTGTTCTTGGTGCTTGCAGATGAGGCTCCATCCCCAAATGTCAGTGCCAAGGTGTGAGCTCCTCTGCAGGTAGGGTGGGTTTGGGGTGTGCTTATTGCCTACGGGAGCTTTATTCAGCAGAGGGAAGCCACATTGGGGCCATGGCCTGGGGATGGAGTGCTGGGATGGGGTCACGTAGTGGGGCCGAGCTGTGGTGTCCTGTGGGATGACGGGGCTGGAACCATCTGGAAAGGTTTTTTTGCGGGAAGAGCGAGGCCCAGGGGGGATGGGAGAAGGGATGCCATGACAACCTTTGGGGGTTTCCCAGGAAACCAAGGTCGCCATGGCAACTGCATCACTCCGGTCCAAATCAGTGACTTCCGCTGGAAGGCGTGTTCGCCACTTTAATCTCCTTGCGATAAGCGGCTGCATCTCTCCCAAACCCAAAACACAAGGAGGAAAGATCCCTTTGTCTCCAGCCGGATTGTTGGAGGCTGCAGAGGAGCTCATCAAGGATCCCGCATCTCCTGGTCCACGCCGGCGCCGCTCCCCGTGCACCATCAGCTCCTGTAACCATCCCCTTTCACCTCCCTCCTCCCTGCAACCAGACCCGCTGCGTGGCCACAGATCTGATGTTGGATGAAATGATGCTGAAGGGTTAGAGGGGAAGGGAATTAAGAATAGAAAATGAAGGTTTGGGGGTTGGTTTTCTCTATTTCAATCAGCAGTGACTGCACTCGGTCTCTGATCAGATTAGGATTTCCTAAACAATCTAAAGAAGGAGAAAGGGAATCTGTGATGTGCCCATAACAGCACATCACGTTTTGATATTAAGCATCATTTAACAATGTGGTAGCAGAGACTCTGCAAAATTAAATGGTCATTTCCTCCCACCCCCCTTCCAGCACGCTCTGCAACATGTTTTCCTCGTCCCCCCACCCAATCCAGGGTTGTTAATCCAACAAGTGAGTTTATGTGATGGAAGGGAAATCGG